AAAACACATATGGTTTACATGGTCACTTTGTGGTATCTAAGGGGTGCTGCAATCCTAGCTGGCTTCACAGCGTTTGATGAGCTTGCTGAGATTCTGAAGAACCTCAAGGGTGACTGCGCAGGTAGTGTTAAGGGTGAAGGTGCTTCACCCAAAAAGCTAGCGAAGCCAGCCAAGAAGGTGAAGGCACCGGCTCGCAAGAAAGAGGCGAAAGCCAAGGGCTCCAAGGGCTAGCTGGCAATATCACCATCATTTGCAAAGGGGTCAAACAATGGTAAGCAACCTCTTGTTATTGCACCAGATTTTGCAATCCTGGGTTCCACACTTACTCCTGCAAAGATGGTGTAGCAAGCTATAGTTATCCGGAGGTGGCTGAACAACTAGGCCAAAACCTCCCGTCTCCAACATTGGAAACACAGCGGCCAGCAATCGTAGTTATCAGAATTTGCTTTGTTGTGAACTGTTGGAGACCTTTTGTAAACCCTCGAGTGGACATGCTTGGGCACCTCAATCAAGTCCAAAAGGTTCACGAAGCAAGGATAGGGCCTGGCAGCGTACACGGATCCAATGGACAGGAATCGAAGACTTTGGATGGGCAGCGATTGGGAAGGGTTGGGCATGCTGTTGGAAAATTGGATCAGTGGTTCTTTGGCTTTCAGTGTTTAAAACGGAGCGCTGGTAGATGTTGCGTTGTTCGCTTCAATAGTGCGATGAACCCGAAGAAGCTGCTGCTGATCCTCACCGCACTGGGACAGATCCAACTACCTGCCCCTGACAGGGCAAATGACTTCGCTGCTTTGTTGATGACTAGCCTAGTTAATTATGCTTTTGGTGTGACGGTTTGACAATGAGTCCTATTTGTTGAACGATTCCAACATACATAAAACGAAATCACCCTCGGTCGACATCTCAGGTGGAAATATGCAGTGGTGAAGGGCAGTTGTCTCGGGCCCTGTGGTCACAAGGCCTTCAGGGCAAGGCCTTTGATGAAGCCAAGCTCAAACTTGAAATTGTGAGTTTCAGAATTGGTTTCTGAAAGTTCACATTGGTCAGGGTTGAAATGCTTTCCATGGCATAGTCCGTTGAGGCTTTGTTTTGGACAATTCCTGAGTCCCCCCAAAAATTAAAAAAACCTGGGAGTCAGGAATTGGGACCCTTCGATGTCTTTTCTGGCTAAGATCCGGTACAGCAAGAACCACGACCTGCTACGATCAGTTGGATTCTTTGCAGTGCTGGCAGCAGTCTCTAGACTCAAATAGCATCTCAAGAATCTAGATCCCTGAGGCCCCTGTCATTCTCTCCTTCGCATCGCCCACTTGAGACAAAGCTGCTGTTGAGGTTCGGAATATGAAGCGAGGAGGTTTGCTGTTCTTTGCCCCCCCGTGCAGTACGTGGGTCTTTCTGTGGCCAGACTGTAACCAGTGCCAACATGCCAAGATCAGAACGACCGATGAACCAGTTCTCATCCACAACACTCAGGAGTTCTCCATCAACTGGGAGGAGCTGGCTCAACCCGCGAGGATTTAACACTCGGTGTGTTAACCTCGCCAACATATTTGTCATGCGAATGCTATACATGTACCTCAGTTAAGATGAACTGGGTATGTCGATCTGCTAGTTTGATGTGATCATATGTGATCGATGTAATGAAATTGGAACTAAGTCTGTGGTATGCATGGTCGCGGGGTGTATTTTTCCTCATCGAGCAGCCTTTGAGTTCCGCCTTGGCCTTGACTATCCCGAAAAAGTTTTAAGTTGAGCGCTGGCATTCTGATATGTCCGTGTCATGGGCCGAGGTCCTATTCAATTGGGAACCAGTACGCAGGTTTCTGATCGCTGTACGAGCAAGGACTTTAGAAAACAAATATAACTGTGGAAAACCGACATGTGTCACATTCCGTTTTGTGGGTCCCAGTCCCACTCTGTGAGGAAAGTCACATTTCCCATGGGATCATTTGGCGCAAAAACTTTGAAGTACACAACGATGCTGGGTTGCACGTATAGATGGAAGAATCCAGCTTACTTCTCCGAATAGCTCTTCCCAACATGGGGCCTGACATGTCAGGATCTGGGGCACACTTCCTAGTTTATCTCGCCTTCGTCGCCCGATTGATATCAAGCAGCTCAAGGCCGCCTTGGCAAGGACCGTGTGAGTGATTTTGAAAGCAAATGCTTGGGGTCTGACATATAATTACAGTATATTATCCACCCACCCTAGATTCTAGATCATTAGATTTGGTTGGCCCCATTGGCTTTGAGCTACGAGCAAATAGCTTACACACACTTGACTTCCACTACCCCCTGAAGAAACAGTGCCGACCTGGTGAAGAAGAGCATTGACAAATACGGGAAAAAGCGAGTGGTGTCTTGATCGAATGAACTTGGTTGCCACTGTTTGGTTCACAGTGAAACGTTGATGGGTATAGTCACAAGTGCACATTACGCAACAGTAGATCCTATCGTGGATGCCACCCCATCGAGGTTGGCATTAAACGAGCTCTTGCGGATTCAGCTGTGTACCCTCGAGACTTTGGGCTGGCAGTGGCAGATCTTCTACCAAGTCGAGGTGGAAGACCGGAGTCCGACCAGGTGGATTCTGAGGGCTTCCCTGCTGGGGAAGACTTGGGGGCATTAGATGATTTACTCCGGGGGAAAGAAAACACATGGTGGAGGAAACAATAATCCTTTACCTACAGGATGGGTGATGGATCATGGACCTCTAAACCTGAGGAAACTTAAGTCATGTGAGGCTTGTTTCAATTGGTTCTTGCACCCATCCTCCAATAGTGATAAAGATAAAGTACAAGCCGATGTGGGGAAAGGGGCAGGTCTCTGCGAGAGTGTGCAGCCACTGGCTCTGTGATGTGTACTTTGAAACGTATACTTCACAATCTTCGAACATTATCTTATGCATGTTGTCCGCAGCTCTGGCACACTCACAATCTTTCACTTTTGGGAACCCACCTATGGCTCCTGTGAAAGACCGACGCAAAGACACGCTTGAGATGCTGGAGGAACTCAAGCATGAACGTATATGTTTGAGCTGTTACCTCGAGATGTTTACAGAATATCTTTCTGTGACCCTGGGTGCCAATTCATTGAATTGTTCTTCAAATGAATGTTGCTGGTGGTTCATTCGTGAATGATAGTCTTTTTGTTTCTCCCTCCGACAGCCTTTGCTTGTGAGGAACGAGGCAAAGGATCTTCGTGTGATCTCCAAAGACTGTAAATGCGACTTCGAATCTTATATATCTTGGAAGGCTGAGATGGCACACCAGCGTGAGCTAGCGGCGTCTGCGTAGTGTGTAGGTTAGTGAATGGGTCTTGGTACAAACGAATGGATGAAACTGGCGCACGGATCATTTCCCCAAGAATTAGAGGTGTGACAATCTACAATGTTGGAAAGGTGCCACTGGGAATTGATAGATTTGTTTCACAACCCATTGGGGCAGGAACCACGGGACGCCTGGACCCTTTCTTGAAACTTGCTCCCCGAGCCCCGGACTTGGCTTGGGCTGCTCCACCTTCGAGGACCTATGACTGTGGCAAAAAAATGTCACTTAGTGCGTGTCACTGCGTGTCATACGCGTGTCACTGGAGGTAGCGAGGGGTGCTAATTGGCCACCCCTTATAGAACGTGTCATGGAAGGGGCTACCAATTAGCACCCCTTAGCAGCGTGTCAGCTAGTCACTTACATGCTGAGAACGTGTCATTCCCGTGTCACAAATTCACAACTTTGGAAAAATTCCCGGTCCGAAGGATTGTCTTGGTTCGGGGATCTTGGGGCTGGACTGTTCTACAAAGCCATGGCCAGATCTTCAGGCAAACTGTCTGAAGGTGAAAGGATCCGGCGTGAAAAAGCTGCGCCAGCTCCACCCACAGCAGCCCAAGTGGACTTTGAAAGGAAGAAGCAAGCGCTTATCAAACAAGTAGAAGAGGATGAGAGAAGAGCAAAGAAGAGAGAGAGTGAGAGCAACAGCTCATCGCCTGTTGCTGGCACCAACGGCAAAAGTGAGAAGAAGCAGAATGATTCAGGCAGCAGCCCATCCACAGCTGTTCCCAAAGAAGGCAAGGAGAAGAAGGAGAAAAAGGAGAAG